TGTTTAACAGCAGGCTGAGTGTACACAGCTGAAGAAGGTGGATTGAACTAGCCTGACTGACCCCTCTTGAAGCTCACACAATCTTTTCTGCTGAAAGGGACGGGAGAGCAAGGGGGATTTTGGGGTCACTGAAAAGGAGCTTGGCACCTTAACATCTTCAGAATCATAGCTGATTCCTCAGCACGTGTTCGTCTGTAGTAAAAGTCACCCACAGGTCTCATGCAAACATGAAAACTTTGCTTTCAGTGTGACTTGAGTCAAGCGTTGTGCTCAGGGGGTGCTTCTGATGGGAAAAGAAAAGCTGGGGATAGGACCTCTGGGTTTTGAGCAGAACTGGAAGAGGTGAAAGCCACTCACCTCATGACACCCTTTTCTCAAAATGTCACTCTTATTCAAAAGGTAGAAACTCTCATCAATTGCACTGCATGGAATTCCACCAGAATTGTCAGGGAAGAAACTACTCCTGTTCCTCAATAAAGCAAAGCTCAAATTCAACCCAAAGAAAGCAGAGCGCTCCATTCCCGTATTTCTGTCCATCCTAAGGGGAGTACCCAAAAATACTGATGGCATGACATATGCTTATAAATGTTGCTTTATGCATCAAAGTGCTCCTTCAGGCTTGCCTGCATGCACAGTGCTACCACATGAAAAGCTGCTATGTGCCTGATGTTTTCAAATGCCGGGTGGTGTATTTAGAACGCTGAGAGAGATGTCAGAGCATGGGGTCAGGTTCTTGAGGGTGTTTAAGGCACTTAGCTCACATCAGCCAGGATCTAAATTCACAAAGAACCTTACGGTCCTATGCCCAATTCCTCAGCTATTTAGAGCACCTGTCCAGCTGCTTCCCAAGGTTTTCTTGGTCCTGGTGTTGCTGAATTGCTGAAGTCTGCTTTTTTGCCTGGATCCCAGTGCTGCTCTCAAGCTGAACACCCTCCTGCTAGCTGATTGGCAGAAACTCTTCCCCTATCTCAGGCCTTCTCCAAACGCACATGAAAGGCACCCAGGAAGAGACTGCTGGGGGTTGTTCTATGTGCTTTTGCCTCCACCAGGCTATCTGTCCAGTGGTAAGGGTGTTTGTAATAGAAATTATTTGCGAAGTCCCCTGTCTTTTTGGACAGAAGACCCGAGTCTGTGGGTGACTTGATGCAAAAGTCAGAGAAGCTGGTGGTGAGGCAGACTATGGACATGTCTAAATAGGCCAGTTAACCTCCAGATTTCATCTTGTTCATGTCTTCCCCACCCAGATTTGGGCAGAAGATTTGGATTTGTCTGCATCTGTTGATGCATGACCAAGCAGAGACAGCTAGGACATGCCCAGAGCTATTCTTTGGCCTCAGTGTATGAAACCATCTCCACAGAGAAGATTGTGGAAATGGCTGAAATTTGAGACCCAGCAGATACTGGGACCTTGTGGGGAGAGAAGTTTAATTGTTTGATAGACTGCGTTATTTTTACGTGCTTCACATCTTCAGAGCACAGCTCAAACTGCATACAACTACAACTTCATAGGACATGTGAGGAAATAGAAGTGGATTTCTAAGGAGAAGAAAAGAAGGCACCTTCATATGACTAGAAATGCCACAGTTCAGACTACTTCCCATTCTAGATATTACCTGGTATTCGGGAACCAAGGCTGTCACAGGTTAGGTAAGACGCACTCCCATTACCACCTTTGTGATCTGAGCAGTCAGAGACCAGAGCTCTCTGGCTTTGTTAAGTTGGGTCAGAACATTGTCTTTAGGTCCATAAACACAAGCAGGCAAATTATAGTAATGGGATGGAAGACTTATCCTGTTGCTGGGGTTTTGGGTGGAAAGAGGGAAAGACCCAAGAAGTCAAACTGGAGACCACAGTCGTGACCCTAAGCAGGAGCCACTGAGCACACACGGAGGCAGGGCTGTGCTGTAAGACGGTAAGAAGGGGCAGGACGTGGAGTGCTGACACACTGCTTGCTCAGCTTTCTGCAAAAGCTCCCAAGATTTACAGCACGGCTTTCTGATGTAGCTGAGCTGCATCCATGCCTTGCTGAAAGGGACAGTGCATTTTTTCCTGCCTGCTTCCTACTGCTTCCCCGACCCCATGGTAAGCCTGTTCAAGCAGACAGAAGGAAGAAACATACTTTTTCCCACTAAATCTTGTCAGTTTTGAGTTGGGTCCCTATTGCTGACCTGCTCTGTGTGGGGTCAAGCTGAGCACCACTCTAAAGGTCAGGAGAGCGTGGGTGGGAGCAAAGGCAGAAAAAGGTGAGCAGAACCAAGACTATGCTGCTCAGCAACACCTACCTGTTAGGCTGGCTTAACTGCAATGTGATTTGGGGTCCCAGAGGGCTGGAGTCCCATCAGTAGCTTCTCTAGGAAAAGCTTCTCTTCTCTATGAAGTTGCCTTTGGCTTTTATCCATGAAAGTGCCTGAGCAGAGGTTGGTTCACAAAGACTGTCCAAGACAAGATCAGTGACTGATTTTGCATCCCTACAATCCCTTCACTCACAGAGGTGGTAAGGTTTGTAATGAAGGTATTGTGTTTGACTAAACCAAAGACAGCTGTAATAACCCAACTCATTGGAGCACAAGAACCCTACTGCATATCTAAACTTGCAGAAAACTGGGCAACAAGCCAAGAAATACCCATACTGGGAGAAACAGATTGATGAGTAGGCTCCTTGTCTGTAGGTGTGTGTACATACACATATGTTAATGTGTGGCTCACAGGAGAAAACCCCCTGCAGAAAAATACTGCTTCACACAGTGTGGCTAGAAGTTCAGCATAGATAGTCCCTAGCATTTTGCTTTTGTTGGTCAGGGACAAGTGATACATTATTGTCCTGGATGCAGCAAGACAGGTGATGTCCATAAGCCTTTGCTGACTTTTAGGCTTTAGGTTCTGGGATCTTATCTCAGTGGAAATACATGGTGCTAAATCACTTTACAGTTCTTTTTTTAAAAGCATGTGAAAGTTGGTGAAAGACATAAAGAAGAAAGGAAGTTGTCTTTGGGATGATTATATTTTTACAGCTTTCATGTAGAATGTCCTTCATTTCTTTCTCTCCCACTCCTTGGGTCTTTCCTTAGGGAACCTCCTGGATGACTGCCTTTTACAGTGCAATGAAGGACTTATGCATGATTGCTTTTGGCTGCAAGGGGAACTAACATTTGGTAAATTGTTTGGAACTACAGCAGTAAGTGCAGTGCAGACCTGATCGACAGGTCTGCCTGCAGGTCTGGATGTCTGCTGTTGCCTGAATCATGCATCTTGATACACTGCTCACAGTTGTACCTCATCTTACAGAGCTTACATCCCTCAGGCCAGTGCTGAAGTCCTGGGAAGACAGCGGAGATTCTTCCTTTGCAATTGTCTCCTGCTTTGAGTTGCAGGTTTCTACTGGGTGGTTCTGCTTAGAACAGGAGGTTTGAGTTGATGTCCTCCATAGGTCCCTTCCAAACCAACATGTATGTGCTTCTACAGCTTCCAAATTTCTTTTGTATCTTTCTGGGATTACATTGAGCCTGTGGGTCTCTGCTATGGCTGTCCCTTAGCACAAAGGTTCCTTCACTGCTCAGTGCAGTAGGCTTAATTTCACTTGAACCATCTCTGGACAAGCCTGACACCCTACTGAACAATGCTTTCAGGGTGTACAAAGGGCTGCTCCCCTCCTACCACCTCCTGTGCTATTGTGTACAGCCTGCCTTACAGCAGGCTCATTGCTCTTGAGTAAAGTGTAGGAATCAAAATCTGATTTGAGAAACCCATTTCATGATAAATAAGCTAGTCTCTTCCAAGACTGTAACTAGGACTATGTCTAACACCCTGACTGAAGAAACAGCAGCTCAGTGATATGATTCAAGTGGCAGATGTCTGCTTAGATTGTTATGGATATGTGGTAGGTTTCTGTGTCCTTCCACCAGTGTGATCTGGTCAGGATGAAGGTCATGTCAGGTCACTGCAGACTGTGAGGGACAGTAGCCACAGTGTGTGTCTGTCTGCTGTACCTGTTCACTAAATGCAGAAAGCATGACAGGCAATTTCTTGTACTTTGCCACCCCATCATAAGCTCCTTGTGGCTTTCTTCATTTTTTACTCCCTCCAAATCTTGCTGGTTTTATCCCTCCAAGGGCTCCACTGGATCCACCCCTTTTCAAAGAGTTTCTGTGTTACAGCTATCTAGCTTTGCCCACCATTAGGCTTTAGGTAGAAAGCTTCCATCACATAGGCCAGCACCCTGATCCTGTCTGTGCCACAAGATGTCACTGATGTCAGGATGTCACTGTCATTAATTGACATGTCCAAGGTATGAATATTTTAGCTTGTGAAATACCCTACAGCACCCTGTTCTAGGTACAACAAGGAGTGGAGACTGGGACAAATAGCATTGCCAGTCAGAAGGTTTTATTACAAAGAGCAGTAAAATATGAGATGTTGATCTGAAGAAACTTTCTAAATAGGAGCAAAAACTGCATAGAAGTTATCTTCCTGTGACTAGAATTCTTACATCTGTAAATTATTCAGTTCAGTCACTGAAAAATGTGAAGATCAAAGTAATTGCTTCAGAATCTTCCTTCAGGATAAATGGAAAGACCAAACCAAATAAAATCTACAGAAGCAGCAGCAGCAGATTATTCTCCTAATCTTGGATTTCTTAAGAGGAACCTGTGGTCAAGAATACACATTTAGGAGTTTGCCTTTATATAAAGCTCCCACTGGAATATATGTCATGAATTTCCAAAAAGATGGATGGTTAGGGTTAACAATTGCACAGTATCTCCCTTGTTAGGAAAAGCACTTTATCTGGAGTTTCTGATCCACACTGACCCCAAGCTCTTTTGAAGTGTGGGCCAGAATAGGTCATTCTGATCTACTGCAATTTGGGATTTGCTTATTCCTCATTCTTCTACATGATTTTCATTGCCCTCCCAGAAACAACCAAGTCTGTTATCCTCTTCTTCCTCCACAAATGCTTGCCTGATACCTTCTGAACCATGACCTCTTCCGGCACATATCTGATTTCAGTTGGAAGGCGGGGAGCAGGGTGTTTTGTATTCTGCAAGGGCATATTCATCTGGAAAGAAGAAAGGAAGATGACATTTGCATGAGAGTGAGAAATCGTTCTGACCCCAGTCCATGTGCACCTGTGATTAACACATTATGAACCAGAGAACATTTGATAGATTTTCTGGTAGTCTTCCAGTTATCAAGGCACCCAGTTGCACAGATACACAGTCAGAGCCCAATGCAATCCTCTGGCCATGTTTGTCAGGACACATCATTGCTGTGACTACCCAGGATGTGGATCAGGTGGCAGAACATGCACTCCAGGGTCAATTCTCTGGATACTGCTGCTCATCTGCTAGGATGCAGTTCCCAAAGTTTGCACCAAGCTTGAGAAAAGCATGGGGGAACCTGAGCCACAGTTTCGTTAACACAAATTCCACAACTGGGTAATGTCTGATGCAATTTTAGTTCCTTGAAGCCAGATCGAGAAAGGTGGTCAGGCACTTAATTTTCTAGTTAGGTGCTTAAACTCCTGTTGGGTTCAGTGGGACTGTCATTCCTACTGAAGTATTTAACTTTGCTAAATTATTAACTATTCTTTGACTGCAGCCTACTGTGGCAATATAAAGCAAAAATATGAGATTAGCCAGATCAGGGAAGCCAGGAACACTGCTGTTTTTGAGTTGCTGATTTTAACCATAGTGTTCAAGCTGTAGAAAGAAAGTGGAACCACACTTCTTTCTGTATGTAGTTTGTAAAAAAGCAGCTCCTGATTTATAACTTTCTAATCTGCTTTATGTTGAAATTAAGCAAGAAATGAAAAGACAGGGGCAGAAACTGTCTATGCTTCTGCAAACCCTTTGTGGTCTAGTAATCAAAAGCAGCAGAATTGCTAGCTTGCTCTCCATTTGACTCTCCTGTGAAACAAAGGCAGCAAATGCAGAAAAGTGACAAGAAGCTTGCACAGAGAGACCATGGGAAAATCCACTGTCTGCACCTTGTTAATGCTGAGATCAATACTTTGAATTTACAGGTTTTGCTCCACACTGAAGTCACCTACCTGTTTCGTAGTAATCATACATATGTACTGGCACTGGTTTGATATCTGAGATAGGCAGGCTTTGCTCCACACTGAAGGAGAAGCTGATTTCCTTCCGGGAGACCTGGAAATGGCAAGACAAGAAAATGCATCAGATTTTTTCTTTTCATATCTACCCCTGAGGCTAAGGTTGAACGATGCATTTCTGGGTCAGACTGTGTGACAAAGTGCCATTCTACAATTCTCTCCAGATTGTAAACCTGATGTCAAATCAGATAATTTTTTAAAAGCTGTTGCTAAATATGTTTTGTTGCTAAAATTATGTGCTCTTTTCTTTCTTCCTCTTCATATTTCCATTGCCAATTACCCCAACCATTCCCTGGTTCTGGCGACTTTCAGCACATAGGCATTCATCCTCTCACTGCAAGTTGCTTTCCTTGCCTTTTCCCAGCTAAAATCACCTTCAGCATCCCTATGAATCTTCTCCCCACTTTTCTCTCTTTCAACACATTGAACTCAAGATCATAATCCTCCCCTGTGGTTCTGTTCCTCATTCCACACTCTTGCAGTCAAATGTTGCAAACTTTCCTCCTTACTTTCTCCTGCGTGCCTGAGACTGTGCCCCTGCCCTCTTCTCCCTTCGTCCTTGTTTTTGTCTTGCTGATGTCTTTATAAGAATGGAGCCATGGACAGGGGCTCTGGAGAACTTTCTGCATCACTGGTGCTTTGCTGGGTAAACTTCTCACATCTCAACATCTCAGCTTCTCTGTGAATTCAGAATACTGACTCTAATCTTCCTTATTAGATCCTTGGAGACCAACTAATAAAAATTAGTGTTTGAGAGGTAGATATTATTACTATTTATTTTTGCTTCCTCTCCTCTTCTTGGTATTTTAAAATCCCTTGTGTTTTGATTTTCATCTTTCTCCTCTCTCATTCCCTCTATTAATGTCATTGATGTGGGAGGGCTATTCTTTTCATGCAGAAATCTCTCTAAAAGGGATGGGATGATACTGATTCTCTGTAAAACGCTCTCAGATCAACTGATGAGAAGTGTCACTTAGAGGCTGAAGAATATCATGTAGAATGGGAACTTTTGGAATATGGTATGTAACTTAGCAATGTTTGTGAAATGCTATTTAATCATACAGCATTCTTCACAAAAAGGAATGACAGATATCTCTCTCTTCACTGTAGACTACAACTACTGTGTATATATATTTGATGTTGGACTGAGTGAAGTCCCTTTACATCTTTAAGACGTGTATTGTTAATCTGCTGTTAATGAGATTATTCTTTTATCTGTATTAAACTTCCAATTTAATAAAACCAAAAAGAAACCTCCCAAACTCACCTTCTGAAGGTAGAAAAAGATGTGGTTGTTCTTGATGTCTATGTGATCCACAACAGAATTCTGGTACTGAAGCTTTAAATAAGGCAAATGATAGCCGTGTTAACATAGGAGACTTGCCAAGGAGACTTAAAAATAACTGTTCGATATCAAAGTATATTTGAAGTGGCTGCAATGCTCCTGTTGTGCCACCCTGACATCTCGTGGCCAAAATAAGAAATGCAAGTTGAGTATTTTCATGATGATGAGTGCAAACCAATCACAATGGAAAATTGTTTTATTAGTCAGCTTTGCTGTGTGTGACTTTTATCATTAACTTGAGTGCTCTTATTTCAATGAGAATTCACAGTTATACGACCATTTCTGCAGCTCAATCTGACTCACTTTCTAGTGCATTGTATATTTTAAAAACAAAAAGTGTAAAAAAGTTTTAGAAAAGTAAAGGAGCAAAATTATTTTACTATAAAAATACACAAAAATAAAATATTTCAAATGTTAAAACCCAGCTTTTTTTCCCCCATACATATAAAAAGGAGTACATATAAGTACATGAATTATATATAAAGTACATTTATATGGAGGAGTAGGACACCAAACTGTAACATCTGAATGTATGTATACATATGTCTAGTGTGCATGTCTGCCTGTTGGGTATACACACTCAGCCTTGCTGTTGGCTGGACCTGGGGATATGAAGCTGCAGCAGTCTCGTCTCTGCTGGGCTACTGGATTTGGCAACTCTTAACAGATTTGTCTTCCACAGATGAGCAGCTACAAGTCTGAGATACAGAGTATGTGACAGAAGGCTATGCCCAGGGACTTTGCAGAATTCCCACAGCTCCAATTTGCTAATCAGAGACTATTTTTATCAACTTCCTATGTTTTCAGGGTTTACCATTCACTTTTCTTGCATTCTTTACCTTTGTCAAGGAAGATCTTATGGGAACAAAACCTGAGAGCATCTTCACATCAATAATAGCCATGTTGGAGACGTTGCGGTTGCCTGTGTAACTAAAATGAGAAAGGTTCTCTTAGTCTGGTCTGCAAATGAAGATACACCAGTGAATGACATTTTCAGGTCCTAATGATCCTGTTTGTCTCCCTGCACTGCAGAGTAGCAGTTAACTGCCTGTACTTAAATCCTTCCTTGGATGCTTCACCAAACTGTGAATGCAAGGGGGCAGGACAATAAGAAGAAGTTACCTGGTGGAGATGACAAGGTCAAAGTTTGGTGGGAAGTTGCTTGTGCAGGATGCATTGACTGGCTGTACAGAGAGAGAAAATCCTGCAACTTTTTTCGGCAAATAGATGTTGTACCTCAGGGTGGTCTAAAAGAGATGGGAAGTGTGAGATGGTCACAGACTTATAGGCTTTTGTGGTTTCGTCATGAGGTATGGAGGGCAATGAGGTATGGAGGACCCCCTGCTTAGTTCTCAAAGGGGTGTTGCTGAGTGTCCAGCTTGCTTACCTGCAGATAGACACAGCCAGTGCCATTCACTTCCACACTGTAATTCCCTGGAACAGTGGGTAAGGAAGCCTGCTGCAGTAAGAATCGGTTCTTGTCATCCACCTGGAAAGTCTTACTGGGGGACTCCATGAAGTTGACTTTGACTGTGTTAAGATTTTTTTTAGAGAAGGTGAGGTATCCATACTGGGCTAAAGCTTGGAGAGCAACAACAGTGTCCTGGAAAGAACAATATGATCCCTAATTAGATAGATAACCAGCTGTAAGATGGTGCATGAGATTAGCACAGCTCCTAATTCCCTGATGCTTTGTCAGTGCTCATAAATGGAGGGGGACTTTGCAAAGAGCTGAGACAAGATACAAGTTCTGGGGCAATAGATTTTAATTATCCCAGAAAACCTGGGATAATGCTGTGTCAACAGTGACTGCTGTCTACTGCTAACTGAAATTCACGTAAATTCTCATTTCCTAAAACTAAAATATGTATGAAGCTGCCTACAAAGAGCATGATGTGCCCTGACAAGGAGACTTATGCGAGCACCATTTATCAAACATTATTCAAGCGAATATGCAGTCAGGAAGATATGTCATACTATCGAGATCCAGCTTGCAGGCTGGACTGCTCCTAGAAGCTTTCTTTTTACCACACCCTGTTGTTACCTGGCTGGAGGAGAAACCGCCATATGGGTTCTGTTGTTTGACAAGCCAGCGCACAATGCGAGAAATGTAAGATAAGTCTTCTGGAGTGAGTTTGGCTTTGTTGAGCAAAGCCAGGAGCACATAGCTGGTCATTTCAATCTCAGCGGAAGCGGCACGGGAGTAGAAGGCAGGGAAATGTTCTGCTGGTGGCTTATTTTCTCTCTGCCAATGAACTAAACCACCTGAAAACAGAAAAGTGGGGTGTAAAAAGCATGGAAAAATTGCTTGCTGGTTAATTCACTACAGTATAATGTGGGAGACAGGCATACAATTCCCTCTCTGCCTTTACCCCAAAGTTTTTTTTGGCCATCAGTGTCCTGAACTGGTTAAGGTGTAGTTCCAGGACAGAAAAGAAAACAGGAAGGCCTGGAAAGGGAATTGATAAAAGGGGGCTGTATAAGTCAAAGAGGGGTTGAAGTGAAGGGAGTGCAGCAGAAGGATGCTAAGGCAGTCACGGCCTGGAGCACATGACATAGTCAAGGGAACCAGGTTTGTTCAGTGTGTAGAAGAGGAGGCTAATGGGGAAACTAGGTACAATCTTCCACTACCTTGGACTGAGACTTCCAGGGTCTCTCCCCACCTACATTATTTCATAATGCTAAGAAAATCAGGCCACAGCTCAATCTTTTAGGAAGCCAAAAGAGACAGACAGAAAGTTAGTAGAGATAAATTCAGTAGCATAGCAGGCCTGAAACGGGAAGGGAGTAACACGAATGAGAAAACTGTACATCAGAATAGCTTATGTCATACCACAGGTCAATCAGCTGTATTGCCTGTATCATTGCCATACTGCACTTACCATCTCTGGTAGCTGTCTTGTCCAGCTTCTCAAGGAAGAATTGGCGTCTTTTCTGATTGTCAGCTAAGCCATAAACATAGGCAAAGAGGGCCTGGTTATACAGGTTGTGGACCCCATTGCCAAATGCAGTCTCCAAACAGTTCATGCCACTCTGAATGACAGGATGCTAGTAATGCAAAACATAGTAGAGTTGTCAGGTACTTGGATTTGTGTCACAACTTCTCCTTAAATACTCCCATCACTGCTTAAGCTGCCATTGCTGACCCTTCGTGCTAAAAATATACATGATCCATGGCATGTTTAAGGGCCTACAGTGTGTATCCTGTAAAAAATGCCCTTCCAGTAGTGCTGCCTTCTTTCTGCATTTATTTAGAGGCAGCATGGCCAGACTAACAGAGCACTGGTTCTTTTCTTGACTTGTGAGATGACCTTATGTAGATGAATCCTTTGTCCCTTGGTTGCTTTAGCTCTAAAATGTGGATCATCTTTACAGAACTACATAAAGTGTATTGAGACCTCATGATGAAGCAAGCACTCTCAGAGGGATGCTATTACTCATTTGCTAGCTATAGCTATCAAGATAACTCTTCAGCCCTTTTAGCCTTACAGACTATCTCTGTGAGCTCTACTTCAGCTCAGACATCACCAGCACACTACTAACCATGTCCTGTCTATGCAGCTTCACTTATAGATGCGGCACCGGGTTTTGGAACTTCTTATGAAGATATTGGGAACTAAATTCATGTTGCTGAAGAACTATTTGGTTCTGCACAATGTTTTTATCCTGCCAGTCTCAAGTGCTTAAATGATGCCCCATACTACAGTATCTGGGGGACCTGCAAAACTCAGTGCATGCCTAGAACATATTGGTCAGATTGGGAACAATTTTCATCTTCTCCATTTCACAACAAACAAAAAATCAGCAAAAAACCAGGGTCTCAAAGATATGCAGGAAGTGTATCACAGAGAGCAAAGTGTGTGCCTAGCAAATATTCCAACCAGCAGCTCATCATCTCCTTCCATTATTAATAATGACATAAGGAAATGGAAACACAGCTTGGATCTAAATGAACAGAGAGAGTTTGTAGGACTGAAGATTTGGATGGCTTGGACTTTGGACTGGGCAAATTCAGTCTGGAATTTGCACCTACATAGACTACCATTATTTAACACAACTGGATTTCTCAGGGATTTTTCAAAGTAATCCATAGGAACTGGATACATAACTGATTTATAACTTACCAAATACTTATGGCATCTGCAGGGTTCTGGAAACAGATTTCCTCAGCTGACCCTACTGTCCTACAATCAGTATTTACCACATTGTTAAAGAACACAGATGTGAGGACTATGACTTGTGCACTGACTAGGCTAATAGAGCATAACAGCATCAAATACCTACCGCAGCAGAGTGTCCAGCCTCCAGCAGTGCTGCCACAACATAGGCTGTGAGTGAGTATTCACCTTCTTCTCCATCCTGAAGAAAACACAAGAAAAGAACAGGTCAGTACAGATATGCTAGAAGGAAACAAAATATTAATTAATTCTTAGTTCAGATACCAGTTAGATTTGCAATCAGAAGTAACTTCTGTCTCCCTGTGTGCACAGGAACAAGAAAGATCAAGTTCACTCAGGATAAAGCCAAAATGATTTTATGCATTTTCTTGGCTTTTGCACATATGCAATAAAGCACATTATAGCTTGTGGCTGAACACATAATGCAGTGGTGGAAAATAAAATCTGAGACTTCTGACTCAGAAAGTTCTGCTTGTTTCTACCTCATCACCAATGGCAGACATAAAAATCATTCCCTGCTTGAACATGAGAGACATGAGAGGACAGTAATAGGAAGTAGTAAGGGTGTGGTGATAAGCTTGTGTCTGGCAGAAATAACCCAAATCAATTCCAATGCCCCGATTGGAAGTCTGGGACTATACTTGTCTCAGTTACCTTCAGAGCATTGTTGAAATGTGACCCAACATTTTCAAAGCAGCCATCTGACTTCTGCTTGCTTGCCAGCCAGATCAAAGCTTGAGACTGGACATTGTCGTCAATGTAGATGTAGCGTCTGGCTTGTGCAAATGACTTGTACACAAAGGCAGTGAGCCTGGAGGCGAACCAGAAACAGAAAGCAGGTAAGGTGTGAACAAGACCAAGATTGTTTACCAGCAACTGGATATGCATAGAAAATGACATAAAATGAACTCCATAATGTCTGAGGTAAAAGAAACAAGTGTTTTTTAAGTTTAAAATAAATCAGATAGTTAAATCCTGATATTAAAAACTGACCTGAGCTTTCTCCATTACTGTGCTCAAACCATTCTTTCAGAGCAGTGTTAAAGTGTAGACACACACAGCTTGATGATTGATGATAGTAATTTCTAATCTTAATTTATAGAATTATGAAATAAACTAGATGGCAAGGGACCTCTGGAAGTCTCCAGTCCAACCGCCTGCTTAAACTAGGACCAACTTCAAAGCTCCATCTCTTGTCCAATCATGTTGTGAAAATCTCCAGGGATGTCCTCTCTGGCCATTTGTCTCAGTGCTGCAGCATTATCCTGAGGAAGACTTTTTTTTCCTTCTACCCTGTTGGAGTTTTCCCTGTTGCAACTTGAGCAAGGACAAACTCTTGTCTTTACTCTGTGCACCCCTGACAAGAGTCTGACTCTGTCTTTTCTACAGTCCCCATCCAGGTAGCAGAAAGCTTTACCTAGGTTTCTCATTAGCCTCCTCTTCTACAGGCTGAACAAACACAGTTCCTTCAGCCTCCCCTTGAACGTTATGTACTGCAGCCCCTAATCATCTTACCTCTTTCCAGTTTATTAATCTCTCCTGTACTAGGGGATCCAAATTAATTGAGCTATGTCCATTTAGTCTATTAAAAACAAGAATCACTTAATACTTTGATCATTTTTCAAAGCCTAAAGATCCTGCGCTAGGGAAATAGAAAGTGTCATCACTTACCATACACTCCCTTCCCTATCTCGTGGCCCAAAGGAGCTGTAGGATCCATCCCGGTGTTTGTATGATAGCTGTTTTTGATACCCTGAAAACACAATAAAGAAGGCATATTTTCTTAGCACAGAAAAGGACTCATTCTGCTGTTTATTGAACTGAAGCAGTAAGACTTTCGGATTTAATATTAAGTAATGTGTGTCTGGTGAATAATGTCAGCTACTATGAATTTTAGCTGCTTTTGCTCCTGGAAGTATGACATGCTTCTTTGGGGTGCTGTCATTGCCTGCTCCTATGCAATAAATGTGGTGCTAGAATTTAGACATCAGTGTTCACCATGTAGAGCTTTAGAGTTCAATGCACACAATCACAATATTAGATGGAAGAGTCTGAAAGCCTCTCACCTGTGGATAAATATCCAGTACCCTTGACTCTAATCTCTTCAGTCAGCTGCCCAGTCTTATTCAGATAATCCAGGGCATAGATGTTGGGTGTGAACAAGGCCATGTTCTGTTCTCCACATCCATAAGGCATATGGAGGAGGTTCTCCATGTTCCTCAGGGCTGTACCCAAAATGTCTCCTGAAGAATGAAAGATATAAGAAGTCAGTTCAGTTCACACATGTTTTTATTACACAGCATTATACATTGTTTTATATTACCTTATTATGAACCCAAGAGCAATGACCAAGATGGAGTCATCACAGCAACCAAAGAGACAGCTTAGAAGAAAGGCTGAAGTGCCCCCATTTATTATTTTTTCTTTGGATGCTGGACACTTGGAAGAAACTGAGAATTTGACGAAAAAACTGAGCAGCAATACTGGCTGGCATGGGTTATGAGAAACAGCTATGAACCCTTAGAAGGGTTAGACTTCCCTGCCCTTTACAACCTGCTTCCCATTTTGTGTGTACATGTGAGAATGACGTGTGGGGTATGATGCTGATGGGCTACAGAGGCTCTATTGCACAGTATCAGCACACCTCACACTGACCCAGGCATGCAAAACAACTGTGTTTACAAAGCAATCTGAGTTCAGAACCTCAAAAAAATTTCACTGAAGAGAATTGTCAGTCTTAATAATGATTTTAGGATTAGTAGAGTTGATTGGGATGCAAAAGTCTTATTCAATGGGAACTTACTGACTGGAAAATGTTTTTCATTATGCGAAAGCATAAATTTGAAATTATGCAGTCAGCAAAGTTCTGAAGTCTTCTTTCCAAGAAATCAACATTTTTTTTTGAAGAAGAAGTCTGCCTTATCTTACCTTTCAGCTGAATTAACTGTTTTACTATACAGAACAGGATATGCTAATGCAGTATAATCTGAAATGCAATATAAATTGAAATAATTTGACTAATAATCCTCTTTTGATATGAAAGAATCCTGAGCAACTTTTGCCATTTTGCAAAGTAGGAAATGTTTCCTCTAAAACCAAGATTAAGTATTTCCTCAACTTGACATTAGTTTTGCACATGTATACATGATGGCACTTGGTGCAGCACAAGAGAAATGCCATTTACCTTTGTTTTTAGTCTAAGTACTAAACTTACCAATGACAGAAAAATAAGCTCTGGCTGATCCAGGCACTAGGTTTCTTGGCAGGCTGAGAGACACTGGTTCAGAAATCTTTATGCCTGATGAGAAAATGTAACAACAAGAATTGTTAAAATCATCTTTTTTCCAGAAGTCTTCACTTTGCAAGCATTACTACAGTGACTGCTACAATCTGCAGTCTGGGTAAAGAAAATGGTGCAGAGACTGTCCGATGAGTCAAAGGTATCTCTGAAAATCCTGAATTGTAGCCCAGCACCTTGACCCTGAGACCCTTTTTCCTCCCCTGGAAGAGTCTCTGGCTTGTAGGACAAAGCCTACAAGACAGTGAAGCAGTTCCACTGACTCCCTGGAATGAATGAATGAACTTGCCTTACCTTTCGTACAGACAAGGGAGCTCTGAGTCAATTCCTTTTTAATACCTTCAGGCTGTTTGATTGCAGGAAAGTGGTCAGGAAGAGAAAGAAAAGTGTAGAACATCACCATGAAACCATGACAATTTAATGGTGTAAAACAGTATGTGGATGTGGCTGTCCAGACAGTGCACCCTTTGTACTCAGTCCTACCCTATCTCCACTAGAATACCTCTTGGTCCATGGGTCCCTCTCTCTTTTACCCAATACCCTGTGCAGAGCACATTCCTTCTTAGAAAGCAGTTATCAAATAGACATTTCCAGCCTCTGAGAGGGACTCTGTCCAACTAATCCTACATGGCTGCTGCTTTATGATGCTCAGGATAAATCCTTTTCCTTTTATATGTGCCCTCCACCCCCCTCCCCAGTATTAGAGTCACAGGCTAAAGGCACTTATAGCTAAGGTATGGAATGTCCTCCCTTCTGGGTACATCTCTGCTGACATCTGTGGGGTGTCAGGGCATGTATGCTCATGGTCCCAGGAAGGAGGCAGTGGCAGGAGGACAGTGGATGCCACTGATCGCTGTGATTTACACTCTCATTTTCACATGGAGAAGCCTACTGTACACAGCTCCATCTGTGTCAGCTGCCTTGCCTCCTCACACTAACTAACTGCTTCTAACCCACAGCTGTAGGAATTGCAGTTTCAACAAAGCAGGAAGCACATGCAGATTTCCTACCATACCTCAACAAGTAGGGTTTGAATCAGGGTGTCCTTGCGAGTTGTCTCCTCTTCTGGGGATGTACTGTTTCCTGTACCTCTGGTATTCAGTTTGGCCTCAGCAGTAATAGTGAATTTCACCTCACCTGGAAAACCACCCACCAGCCCAAGAAAAGAAAGTTATCTTCAATGCCTACAGTTACCCCTGGTTTTCACTGCCTCTTCTAGGCTGAGAAATATATTCTTTCTGAAGGCAGCTCAGTAGAAAAAAAATTCATGAAGGCTCCATGTCTGCCTGCTAGTGGCAAGAAGTGGTTGCTGGGGCCCCTAGCATAAGGAACAAAATAGGGGTGATCCTAGCCAAAAAACTGACAGTACTTACTACCAGTTTCCACTGCTTCTTAGCCTTGTGCTGCGTTTTCTCTGGCCTAGGGCAGTGTTGCAATAATTAGAGCTCTGCTGCCTCTTTCCTTCAGATGGAATTTGACTGAGGGACAACACTGAGGAGCAGCCTCGGTGCTGCTGCAGCACTGGTGAGCGACCCTGAAGGGAGCAGCTGTGCAGGCATTGCTCACTTCACCCCTGCAGTCATTGCAAACTGGAAATCCAAAGGAGTTTTTTACTTGGAACAAAATGCATTATTATCAGTTACCCAGGAGAGACAGCAGTTTTCCTTTTTTTCAGCTCTGCAGTATTGTTTCGCTGCTTATCCAGTTTTCATCTCACTATAACTTTGCATTTCTCTCAGTGAGTTTGAAGGAAATCAGTCATACTGACTATGGGGTTTTAGAAACAACCTTTCAAAGAAAAGGTCCATCTATGGTTCATTTTGAAAAGAGTCTTTGCTAATTAAAAGGTACAAAAGTTAGATGCTGCATTAAAGGGTGGGAGTGAGAGAGGTAGAAAGATCAAACAGGAATATATCAAGGTTGTGAAAAGACAAACTTACCGAGTTTGTGGGGGCTAACAGCCCAAATATAGGTTTTTCTTTCATTGGCACACACCCTTGCTGTGTTGCCCTCTGGTGAAAGGACTTCTGCCTTGTAGTCACTTGACTTTGCCAGTATGGCACTGATCTGAGACAAAGAAAGAAGGAGCAAGATTACAAATGAAGTAGGCTGCCCCTAAAGTCAGGCTGCAGACCAAGGGAGACTTGCTGGAGAAGCTATTTGTCATCTGAATCTGTGCGATGGTACCAGGACAGAAGGATTGGGCATTTCTCTGACGAAGTGGCAAACCTGTCACTTTTCTGCCCACTGTTAGTATCTGTTTTTGACAGAAGTATACCAAGGTGTCTGTGCTCATTAATCAAGTCTTCTTATGAGTTACTGCTACATATGACATGCTCAGTATGTATTGTGTTTTGCACAGCACAGTACCCATACCCTCTGCTCAAGTTGCTCCTTCAGGAGCAAAAATAAGAACTAAATTATATAGGGATAAGGAGCAAATTCTTGTCTTCTGTGGACCAGCCACAGTGATCATTGGCCACATTTTCCTAATGTTATGACACAGGGACAGGTCCAGGGAGAGATGGTGATAGAGTAATGTGTCAGGCTAAAGTGTACGTTAAACACTTATTTCTGCGTTTCTGATGCAATACACAGGAGAATGCTGGGATCTCTGGGAAATAGACAAGCCATATAAGAAGTAAAAGGGAACATCTATCATCATACCTCGATGCATTTGTTGAGGTAGTTGAAAACGTTGGCTATTAAATTAAATTTTTCCCCTCGAATGACAGAGTATGGCAAGGTGAGATCCACAAAGAATGGTTGGAATGCTGTCAGTGAAACAGGTGAGGAGATGCCAAACCCAGCATCATCTTGCACGCAGAAAGCGCTGGCTTTCCATTCTGTGATGGTGTCAGGAATGGTGTAAAAGACACTGACCTCTCCCCTGGAACTGAGGAAAAATAAAAAAACAGAATGAGAAAGGATCTTTGGCATTTTCAAGCCAAATTATAGAATAGGCTCCCTGCTTGAGTTAGTATTCCTGTTTTCATCTCACTTTCTGCAAGATACCTCTCCACATTTAAAAAAATACTATAAAGCTGGAAGTAAAGGTAAGGTGCTGGTGAACGAGATGTTAAAAAGCACTTGGAAGAATACTCAACTTTTTAAATTTAGAAATACCATTGTTTAAATACCATAATGCCCAAACATACAGATTAGAACCAATAAATTTGGATTAATGTTCTAGAACAGCCCCTGGATGCATGGTTAAGATGGATATTTTCTCATCACAGATGCTATCATAGCCTGGAAAGAAAAACAAAATAACCCAAGTTTTCTGCTGCTGAATTAAAAAAACATGATGAAAAATAACAAGTTTTGCTCCTGCTCTCTCCTAAACAAATGCTCTTATTTTACTCTTAGCCCTTATTCTTTCTCCACATCAGAAAGATAGAGGGAAGAACACAGAGCAGGTGTCATTCACAGTTCAAGTAGGTTTGTCACTGTGTACAAGGTTGGGAGCTCAGTAGTCATAAAGCAAGATGGGAAAAGGAGACCCGCAGTTACAAAGCAGACATATGTTCCATGGCTTCTTCCCAGAATTAATTTCAGCAACACGTATAAACTCAAAAATCCACACGAGAGGTAAGAATTGAAGAAAAAAATACTCACTCAGTATGAACCAGATCCCAAATCCAGGTCTCAGGGAAGAATTTCCGAACAGTGTTAATACTCGTCCTTGACTCATCTAGAAGACTGCTTATGGCTAAAATATAATATTAGAGAGGTCAGGCCAGAAGAATCAGAACTGCTGTCAGACATACTCAACACCATAAACAAACACTAAGTATTCCATTTGACCATTTTTCCATTCTTTTGCACATAAAAGAGGAAAATTCTAACAGATATAGGATATGAGAAGAAACAGTTTCTTATCTATTCTCTTTTCCCATGGGAAAATACTAGAAAATTTAGCTATTTCACAAGACATTTCACTTTATTTCATATTGCAAGGTCTCATCATCCAGTTAGAAAGGCCTCTAACCTCTACCACTAGCTCTCTTTGATTTGCAAATGGGCAACAGTAGCCAGTATTGTCACCAAAACTTATAATCCTTTACAAATCTCCCTGAGAACTCAATCATTTTTACACTGTTCAGTAGTTAAAACTGGAGCTGAATATCCAGTCCATTGAAAAACTACTTTTATTCATATAGTCAAACTATACAGGTCTGATATGAGGAACCAAGGCCTCTTTCCAGTTTTGCCATGGACTCAGTTGTGATGTCCAGCAACTCATTTAGCATGGAGGTACCTCAGATTTCCTAGCCATATCATGGAAATAACAATAATTTCTTATTTTGCTGGGCTTAGAATCATAGAATCACAGAGTCATTGAAAAAATCTAGGTTGAGAGGAACCTCTAGAGTTCTCTAGTCCAATCTCCTTGAAGCAGGACTAACTTCAAGTCAGATCATGTTGGTCAAGGGTCTTGTCCAGCTCAGTTTTGAAAACCTGCAGCAATGGAGATTCAAAAACCTCCTGGAGAACATCTTACAGTGTAGCACAACTTTCATGGGGAAGAACTTTTCCTAGTGTTGAATAGCAATTTCCCTTGTGACAACTTATGACTGTTACTTTTACTCTTTTTCTGAGCAATCTGACTTGGAGAAAGATAATCATAACTCCTGCTGATCTATAAAGTGCTTTGGAGACTATGTGATAAGTATGCTAAGTACTGTGCGAATTCTTAACACTGGGAATTGCCATTATTTTTCTGCATTGGCATTTCCTTTTAAATATTTAATTGAATTGTGATTTGATGAAAGGTTCTGACCTAAAAACCCTGAAAAACTAATATCAGTTTATGAAAGAAGTAGCATCCCAGTATTCCCTCTCTTTTCTGTATGCACCCTGTATCTAAGTGAGAGAGAATTGACCCTACTGCAAGGACTGTCAGGAGGAGATTACTAGAGGCAAACTGGGACACATGGACCTATTCCCCAGAAAAACTTCAACATGCTAGCTGCTATTTTATACAGGCAACAGTTCTGAAGACCAGACAGACTGGAACTGGAGATACAGTACAAACCTTCCACTTTACCTGTGCCATAGCCACGGTCATGGTCAAAATTGGCAGGGTAATCTTCCATATCTGATTTGTCTTCATTGCACAGAACTGGCTTCCGTAGCACAGAGTTGGTGAAAACCTTCAGGCCCATACCCTGAATGTGAAAGAATCAATCATGTCACTCAGGGCATGAACTAGGTACCAGCACATGTCACTTCTCCCACCTGGGTTATCATACCTCATCTCTCTCCTCCCATCCCCCGCTTTCAACCCTGAATGTCACAACTCTTTGTCTCCAACCTCTATGTCTTTTTTACAGAGCAGTGACATCTGGTGTTCTGTGAAGAGCAGTAATGATGGGGCTTACGTTAGGTCTTAAGCCATGGGGCCAGCAGGGGGTGGAGGCAACTGTATCAGGAAACAAGTGTCCTGCATCACCGACTCAGATCTTTACTAGGAATGCCTGAGGTCATGAGCCAAGGCCATGGTCCTGCTTAGGAAATGTCTACTGAAGCATGGGCAGGATCCCAGTAAATATATCTAATAGTGATTCTCAGTTTTCCTGAGTAAAAGGTGGGGATGAGAAGGCAGAAACTGGGTGATCAGAGACTTTCGGCAGTTCCAGGCATCATCTGCCTTCTCTTAGCAGTAAGAACCACCAGCTGAGGAAGTTTAATGCTAATGTGGATGAATTCTTCTGGAACACCTCCCGCTTAAAGAACTACACAGAGCACATACCTTGAAAATCCTATAGACATCACCATCACGACTGACATTCACAGGTTCATAGTACAAGCCATCCAAAAAGGTGGTTTTGACTGGGGTACACTCCTCTGGCTTGTCATCTTCCAGGTTGAGCCCATTGTAGTAATAGCCATATAAATCACTCACACGAAGTTGGTAGTATACCTGGGAGGTGAGAATGACTAGTGTAAACACAAGAAAGGTCCCAGGCAGGTGCAAAATCATGTGTATTCAAAGTTTATGGTGGCTCCTGAACAATCCCATAGACTGTGGTGGGTTTGCCTACTCATGCCTACCTAGAGATGAATAAGCAATTTGGCTGGTGATATACAAGAAGGACTGGACTCTACTCCCCTCCTTCCGAGCTGCAATGGCTTTGTGGGGTGAACTTGAGCAAAAAGCATGGAGATACACTCCTGAGTTATGCAGAGAGGAGATTGGAGTCCAACAAGATACTAGCTGACATCTACAGCTTCTGTTCTGGGCCCAAGGCCTATTTGAGTCATAAAATCCAATTTTGACATAATCGCTCCCCAGGGAGGAACTATGCTTTCAAGGATTTACATTAGGCATATTCTTAGGACATGTCTTACATTGCCATGCTTTCCAAAACTAAATGTTCCACTATCACTCTCTGTCTTTGAGATGTACAACTGCCATAGACCTTTCTCCAATCATTGAGATGTCTGTTTCCAAGGGAAAAATAAAAACATAGCCAGCAGCAGAGAGATCACTGGTGGGAACTGGAATGTGATTCTGGATGTCCCTAGGTCAAAAGAACACAGGGCTGGGGATGTGGCTTACGCTTTCAGCAGATAACTCTCGCTCAGGCTGAAGAAGAAGGACACTCTGATCTACAGCTCTCAGGGCACAGTACGAGTTGGCAGCAGCTTCAAGGTGGAGACTGACTTTAGAGCCGGGGAGACCCTGCTTCTCAGAGAACTCGAGCTGGAGCTGGAAATTAATAAATCCAAGACAACCACACAGAAATTAGGAGAATCAGCTTGGCACATAGATGAAAATCTCACTTTTCACCAGCACTCAGTCTATTCTCTGTGGGGCGAAGCTCCTACCGCTAGATGGCCCTTCTGAATCCCTCTTCTCTAAAAATCCACAACCTCTGTAATCCCCTAGTCACCTCTCTCTCCCCACTCCATTGAGAATTTAGTTTGAGTCCAACCATACATGTCAATTCCAGGGACAGCTTCTCATGTTCCCAGGCACATCTGTACCTTTTCCATTCCTAAAGGCCATCCCTAGTGCAAGGCTCTTGATGAAGTCATTCCCTAACTGTTCTCTCAGCAGAGCCAGCTGATATAGGCCTTGATAAGAAAGCAAACTTTTCACCTTGTTTTTGAAGCATACGTCACTGCGTATCCAAGAGCTGTCAGCCACTATCTCCCCACGAGGATGCACCGTGTAGAGCAACAGCCTGGCACTGGGGGCAAGCTTCTCAGTGACAGTTAGTGTGATGGAGAATGTACCTCTGGCAGCTGTGGAAGTAACATGAAACAGGGGAGGAGAAGCCAACAAAAGAGATTAGACAAACCTCATCTTTGGTGGAAGGACCACATATTTATCCACAGCTGACCAGCACCTTTGAAAAGAGGGAAGTTGGATACTGGAATAGAATCATAGAATCATTTAGGTTAGAAAAGACCTTTAAGATCATTAAGGTTGGAAAGGATCTAAGATTTTCTCTAAGATCATCGGTCCAACCATAAACCTAGCACTGCCAAGTCCACCACTAAACCATGTCCCTAAACATCACATCTACATGTCTTTTAAATACCCCTAGGGACGGGCACTCAACCACTGCCCTGGGCAGCCTGTTCCAATGCTTGACAACCTTTTCGGTGAAGAAATTTTTCCTAATATCCAATCTAAACCTCCCCTGGTGCAACTTGAGGCCATGTCCTCCCATCCTATCGCTTGTTACTTGGGAGAAGAGACTGACCCCCACCTTGCTACAACCTCTGTTCAGGTTGTTGTAGAGAGCAATAAGGTCTCCCCTCAGCCTACGTTTTCTAGGCTAAACAACCCCAGTTCCCTCAGCCGCTCCTCACAGGACTTGTGCTCTAGACCCTTCACCAGCTTCTTTGCTCTTCTTTGGACACGCTCCAGCACCTCAATGTCTTTCTTGTCATGAGGGCCCAGTTCTTGAAACACAGAATAGCAACTTGTCATCATGGTTGATGAAATCTTGAGCTGACCTCCATTTACTTCTCTGCATGAGCCCAGAGGACAGGTCCTGGTCACTGAAATAGGAATCCTGCTCTTGGAATACCCAGGCTTGGGGTCAGGAGTGCCCAGAGGACTGTGCAGAGGGTGCCAACGTAACAATACTAATTTTGAAGCAGGACCCAGTGTGCTGGCTAAGGGCCAGCAGGAATGCTCGGAGAAGACAAAACGTCCCTTGCTGACTTCTCAGGGTACAAGAGCAAGATTCACCTCTCAGTGACTGAGGAACAACTCCCATCAGCAAGACAACAGATACAAACTGAAGGATGCTGAGAGCAGGGTGCTTTGCAGAGAAGGGTCTGAGATGAGTAAAAGTTGGACAGGGAAATCTGTGCATGATTGCTATGAGAAGAGCACAACATTGCCTTTGGGCCTCAAACCTAGAACCTCCTACACTTGAGGAGATAGACCAATCTCCTAAGGGAGAACTCTCTTAACACTAGGAAATATGAAGTTCTTATCTACATGGGTGACAACTACTAGAGCAGAGACAGGAAATTAAGCTTTCACATAAGTTTTGGTGAGTCACACACCATTACATACCTTAGTATTAGCCCCCAATAATATGGAAAAACCACATGGCTTCAAGCTGATTTCATGAAGGGAAAATGATAGAATGCTTTGGGTTGGAAGGGACCTTTAGAGATCACCTAGCCCAACCCCCCTGCAGTGAGCAGGGACAGCTTCAACTAGATCAGGTTCCTCAGAGCCCCATCCAACCTGACCTTGAATGTTGCCAGGGATGGGGTCTCCTATCTCTCTGGGCAACCCATTCCAGTGCTTTACTACCCTCACTGTAAAATATTTCTTCCCTATAGCCAGTCTAAATCTATTGTCCTTTAGTTTATAACCATTACTGTCACAACAGGCCTTGCTAAAAAGATTGTCCCCATCTTTCCTACAGGCCCCCTTTAAGTGCTGAAAGGCTGCAATAAGGTCTCCCCAGAGCCTTCTCTTCTCCAGGCTGAACAACCCCAACTCCCTCAGCCTGTCCTTGTAGGAGAGGTGCTGCAGCCCTTGGATCATTTTTTGTGGCCCTGTTCTGGACCTGTTCCAACAGTTCCGTGTCCTTCTTGTGCTGAGGGCTCCAGAGCTGGACACAGTACTCCAGATGAGGTCTCACCAGAGCAGAGCAGAGGGGCAGAATCACCTCCCTCGACCTGCTGGCCACGCTTCTTTTGATGCAACCCAGGATACGGTTGGCTTTCTGGGCTGCAAGCGCACATTGTTGGCTCATGTCCAGGTTTTCATCCATCAGTACCCAGGCCTTGCTAAAAAGATTGTCCCCATCTTTCCTACAGGCCCCCTTTAAGTGCTGAAAGGCTGCAATAAGGTCTCCCCAGAGCCTTCTCTTCTCCAGGCTGAACAACCCCAACTCCCTCAGCCTGTCCTTGTAGGAGAGGTGCTGCAGCCCTTGGATCATTTTTTGTGGCCCTGTTCTGGACCTGTTCCAACAGTTCCGTGTCCTTCTTGTGCTGAGGGCTCCAGAGCTGGACACAGTACTCCAGATGAGGTCTCACCAGAGCAGAGCAGAGGGGCAGAATCACCTCCCTCGACCTGCTGGCCACGCTTCTTTTGATGCAACCCAGGATACGGTTGGCTTTCTGGGCTGCAAGCGCACATTGTTGGCTCATGTCCAGGTTTTCATCCATCAGTACCCCCAAGTCCTTCTCCACAGGGCTGCTCTCATTCCCTTCATCCCCCAGCCCATATTGATATCGGGGTTTGTCCCATCCCAGGTGCAGGACCTTGCACTTGGCCTTGCTGAACCTCATGAGGTTCACACAGGCCCACCTCTCCAGCTTGTCCATCATGTGACATAGCTGCCTTTTGATGAATGGGATGCCTCTCCCTAAACCATAGTGGAACCTATACTGTGCAGCCATAGTGCATGAATATCCAGAGAAAGACCAAAGATGGCAAATACTAAACAAGTCCTATATGTGGAGTGAGGCTGACTTAAGCCACCTACTGAAGACTGGAAATAGAACAGATTCTGCAAGAAAGCATATTTTTAGCAATGAAAGAATGAAGTTCAGTTTGTTGTGATTGGTAGGATCATTGTCATTTGTGGGTATTTGCAGACTTCTGAAAGTGCAATGAAATCCAAGCAGTTAACTACTAAATATCCCTGTCAAATGGGACACCTATTATTTCAAACTTCAAAAAGTTTTAGTCTTCTAATTGGTGAAGACTTGGATGTCACAGAGTAACTGTGAAACTGCAAATACTCCTTGGCAAGAAATAAAACAGAAGAAGGTTACATTCCTTGGTGTTTGATCACAACAAAGTTTTCATCTTTCAACTAACAAGGTCAATTTTATTATGGTATGGGGGTTTGGCTAGATGCTGCAGCAAAAGCAAATGATACTGTGACTGGTGACAGGTCATGGGGTTTAAGAAAAGTACCTGATTTAGCTGCAGTTCTCTACTTTCATCCCTTCTTACAAAACTTACTAATGCTCTGGTGCTCAGAATGATGCTCTGAAGTACAAGTAATATGGCCTAGAACTTACCACCAGAGATGCTGACTTGCTTCTGGCCACTGAGAACAATTTTTCCGTTTGTCATCACCTGGGCATAGAAAAAAACTCATGAGACAGGATCAAAAGCACCTCCTCCCTTCCCCCATGAAATCATTGATTTTGAGTAGTGTTCTGAGAGGCTTCAAAGGCCATCAAGTCGAGCTGTGATCTGTAACCACTGTCTGGTCTGGATATTTCTGCCTTATACGGTGTTCAAGAGAAGGTGAAAGAAAAGAGATGTTTTGGGAGTCAAGATAGCACTTACCATGTAGTAGAAGTTTGTGTCCCTTGCATTCATGTACCCCTCTCTGTTCAGGACATAGTGAACATTGATCATTCTCTTCTGGCCACAACTGAGCTTCTCCTTCACTGGCTTAATTTGCACAAAGCTGTTGGTCCGTGAATAGAAACGCCGGACAAAAAATAAGGCTTGGGGCTCATTATCATTCCTCCAGATGAAGAAGTCTGCACAGTCATCTGGTGCCTGCCTGACCTATGAAGTGGAAGAGTCATACATGGAGAATCAATAAAGTGGAATATAAAAAAAATGGCAGGCAGGTGAGAGGCAAAGGCATCTTCCTTCTAAAATATTCTGTTGGGAATCTGTTTTTTGGGACTGTTTAAGCCAAGAGCAAGAGCTAATGTGAAAAATTTGTGCTTCACCAGTGTAGAGCAGGGGGACTTCTGGACACCTTAATGTATCCAGACACCTATGGCACATTGCGGTAGGAAGGTTATTTGAGATTCTTGCAGGGTTGGGACAGGTTGTATAAACTGCTTATTGTAAGGTAGAATGGCATTGTTCTCAAGAAGCCTTCTGTTTTTCGGCTCTTTCTATCACACCAGAGGAAGGCATAAGAACATAGCAGTGTGCCCAGGTGACCAAGGCGGCCAATGGCATCCTGGCTTGTACCAGGAATAGTGTGGCCA